TGCATTAATAAGAATAAGAACAAGTGCTTAAAAGATTCTGACATCTTGATGTCTTCAGTGGCATGAGATTACAACACACTGCCAATGAAATCAAGCTTGTTGTTCAGTAGGGCAGGAACAATAGAACACAGACATTATGAACAAATAACAGATATCTTATGAACAAATATATAATGAACAAACAGCATATTTTCAGAGAGGAGGGAGAGAAATGAGTTCACATTTTAAAACAGTGATTGATTGCACTTCAAGAAAACTAAAGATCGCAACATCTTATAGCCTAGCCGTGCGCGGTGGGGTCTCATTAGAATGCCTCCTGTACTAAAAACCCTCTCAACTGGAGCAGAAAAGACAGAGACAGAGAGGACCTTCATGGCAACACTGTGTAGACTGGGGAAACGCTCTTTGTTTTTTGACCAAAAGGTGAGTGCACCACAGTCACATTCATTTATGCTGTCTAGGTACTTGCTTATTTGTGCATCAGTGCTCGAGTCCTGGCTTGTGCTGCGTTGCAACCTAAATGCCTTGTAGCGTGAAAGAAGACATTGTTTTGGGGGTGGCACTGAGTCACTATCTGATAATTCTGTGTCTACTTCTGTTGGTGCTGCAGGTGCATCTCTGTCTACATCTGTGATCAAAAGGTCTGGAAAAGGGTGCACACACACACACACACACACACACAAAGACAGGATTAGACAGGATGCTTCTAATGATGCTATAAAACCAAAGGCAGTGATAATAAGTGGAACAACAAAAACAACAATAACAATAAATAATTATTATTATACAGTCTCCAATTAATGACTTTTTAAGGTCATCTCTGAACCTCTTCAGTGCTGGTCCGGTTTCAACATTTTGGACATCTAAATCTACCCAGGTCAGTCCAAACTGGGGGTCAAGCATGGTAGATCTGATGGCTAAACGGCTCTTCTGGATCCTTTTCGTCCATGCAAATCTGCCTGAAAATTCCAGAGAACCGTTTCTCTAAGGATCTTTTCAGTGCCCTGACTATACTTACGACCTGGGGCATTTGTACTTCCATCTTTATAAGATGATTCTTCAAGTCCAGAACAGTGGGGACCACCATGCTAATAGTCACCTGATGATCACCTTTTGTAAGTCTTGTTGCTTCAGAAAAAGGCTCAAGCAAAGCACAAAGGTCTTTCAGCTGAGCCCACTCTCGGGCTGAAAACACTAAATTCTCTGTATCGCTGCACATTTCAGTGATGGCCCTGTGGTCAAGTGTGATCAGAGCCTTTAACTGTCTGTAGGTGCTATTCCAGCGGGTGTTGTTTGCTGCTGGGATGGACTTATTGGAGCCAAAGTGTGCCCCAAACAAGTCTTTGTGGTTACTACTGCTGTGCAGCAGGTTTGTAAACTTGCTGGCTTTGGCAATGGCACTAGCTATTGCCTTTACCTCTTTTATCCCATCACTGATTACAAGTTGCAGCGAGTGGGCGAAGCAAGAAAGACGTTCACCCGTTGACCATGGATCAGAATCTTCTGCATCCTCCCACATTGTTTCATCATCGAGGTCATCACTGCTGTCACCTTCAGGGTGCTCTACTTCTGGCATCCTGACTTTAAAGACCCGCTTCATATTGGATGCATTATCCGTCAGAATGTAGCTTATTTTATGGCCAATGCCATACTCCTCAACTATGCTGTCAAATGCTGAGGCGATTCGTTCGTGTGAAACGCCTACAGTCAAGCAAAAATGATTGTAAACTGTAAGAGTCCTTGTTCTTGCAGGCAACATGAGCGGTAACTCCTAGGAAAGTACAAAGCCTCCGGTCAGACCAGAGGTCTGTTGTTATTGCTACATTTGGATGGACTTCCAGGGCTTTGATTATGTCACCCTTCACTTTAGTGACAAGGTGAGGTATCAGCTTTTCTGTCAAGGTGGTCCTAGACACAGGAGTGTATTTGCTATCCAAGACATTCAGGAAGTGTCTAAAATGTGGATTCTCAACGATAGACAGGGGGAGAGAGCATCCAACTATAAGGTCCTGGAGGATGGACTGGGTGATGGCCTGTTGCCTGGGTGAATTTGGGGGAAATAAGTGGATGCTTGGAGCAAACAATGATACCTACAAAACAGGGAAATAGGTAAAACATCTGTTTCTATTCAACCACAAAAACTACTGTATCTTACAAGCACAGTAATTTTAAACCTATCAATGAGTGCAGACCTTTGCATACAAAATAACCTAATCCAATCCAGTGTGACACATATATAGATCATTAGGCACAACTAGTAATAATGAAAATACTGGAGTGTTCAGGGTTGCAAGACCTTAAATAACAAGAACAGAAAAACAGTTGAATGGAATCTACAAAAGACAAAATGTCTGTGCATTAACTTTGCATATTGCATTAAGCCTCCCCATGCCAGTCAGCTATCAGACACAGCTGTATTGACAAGAAATTAACTACTCAATAAAGTCTGAATTTACACCAATACAAAATAACTGTGTCTAATAATGACA